TCGAACCCCAGACCTCTTGGTTCTAAGCCGATTAATGCCCAGCCGAAATACGCTAGAGAACCCCACATTGCGTTTATTTACAATCCAGTTAAAATTGCTGTTTTTCTATACCATTCCACGTCCTCAAAAAAATGTCACTTTGCCTGATGCAGCATGACGTACTTGTACTAGTACGTGGCGAGGTTCGAACGTATGTTAGGTTTCGCCCCCCTCCCCCTTCAATTCCACGATATTCACATCCCGAAAATGCCTACAAATTATCATCCTACTGCGGTTCTTCTTCCACAGAAATGGTCTTAAACTATTCCCCTCAACATTAGAATATTTTTCTGCCCGTTTCTAAGCCTTACCTGCTTCCTATGACGGTTTTTCTCTTCACGTAAACCGTAACTCGGGCAGCTTTGTCCTTCCTTCGTCTCGTAAGGTCAGAGGTGAACGCTCTTCGGGTCAAAGGTAAAGTTGTGTGCCTGATTACCCACATTGTACATTTGACGTCAGTTGGCACGTTACGTTCTCCTCATAATGTCAACGTTCTGCGTTTCAAACAGACCACCTTAACAACGTAACACGCGTCTGACTTTTGTTTCTGATCTAATATGAAAGAGAGATTCTTAGGGAATTAATGCCAAGCCAAACTGTTTGGTCTGAATCTTGACTTTTGTGTTTTATGATCAACTCACCACCTCTGACAATATTCCATCCAAGGAAAAAAAGCAACACAGAAGGAAACTTTATGATCAAGGTATTACACGATTTGATTATGTCAGTGGAAAATATCTGTAGATCTAGAAAAAAAATGCAAAACAGTAGCCGGGGTGCCAAACCCATAGCACACTGGACACAAAGTACTCACAGAGATACTGTGTGACAGTGTGCTATGGGTTTGGCACCCCGGCTACAAAACAGGAAATTTACTTGTATACAACCTATCATCTACCTTTTCACTGGCGTAAAATTACTTCCTACTTTGGAAACTGAAGCACATCAGTCATTTTACACTGATACAAATCAATACTATTAGCTTTTGGTTTAATTTGTACAAATCCTAGTAGTTGAAAGAGTTGATAGTCACAAGATATAATTGTGTTTGTAGGACATATAGGCAAACACTTCGTGACAGGAACTACTAGTAGATACACAGGAAATCTAAGCTCGTACACACACAACACTAACGTCTACATTCCAACTACTGTGTACAAACACAGCACTAATGTCTACCTTTCATCTTCAACTACTGTGTACAATCACTTACCGATGTTAATTACTGATTATGTATATGTACATTATCAAAATCTATACTATAACATTTACTATTCTCAGTCTACAATTCTAGATAGCTAAAACAGATTTTCATATCTCATATTACAACAAAGTATATGGGCTACTAAGCGAAACTAAGACTTATTCGTGTAACTAAATTATAGCCATAACTTAATTAGAATTTAAAGTGAACAAGTATAGGGTTTTCTCGTGGGAAAACCTTTGCCTACTTGCAAACATCATGAATTCTTACGGAATATTCAGCCTATATCTTAATGAACATAACTGTCATATACCCTTAAGATTCGTATCAAAATATTAAGTGGCGAAACTGCAGTTAACAGCAGACTGTGCGTCCTAAATGTCACTACGAGATGGTCACAGTTGCAGACTTGGTGCCTCCGTGTGGATTTTCATATGTCGAGTTAGGGCAGTCTTAGAGGCTGCAGAATAGCTACACTGGTCACACTTGTAGGGTTTTTCTCCTATATGGGTTCTCATATGTTTGGATAAGTTAGACTTTTGAGCTGTTCTGTACCCACACTCCCCACACATGTAGGGTTTCTCACCAGTGTGTTTTGCTAGATGTGTGTCTAAATTAGATTTTAGTGCTGCAGAATAGTCACACTGGTCACACTTGTAGGGTTTCTCTCCTGTATGGGTTCTCATATGTATGGACAAGTGAGACTTGTAAGCCGCCCTGTACCCACACTCCCCACACATGTAGGGTTTCTCACCAGCATGCATTGCCAGATGTTGGTCCAAACTTGATTTCTTTGCAGCAGAATAGTCACACTGGTCACACTTGTAGGGTTTTTCTCCGGTATGGGTTCTCATGTGTACGGATAGGTAAGACTTTCTAGCTGTCCCGTACCCACACTCCCCACACATGTAGGGTTTCTCACCGGTGTGTTTTACAAGATGATAGTCCAAACTGGATTTCTGTGCAGCAGAATAGTCACACTGGTCACACTTGTAGGGTTTTTCTCCTGTATGGGTTCTCATATGTCGGGATAAGTCAGACTGTTTAGCTGTCCTGTACCCACACTCTCCACACATGTAGGGTTTCTCACCAGCGTTATCCATGTTAACTTGTGTTGCTGCCTGATATTCAGCATTGCTTGTTTTGCTCTCACAGTCGACCTGGGAAACCCTGGTGGGAGACCCATCACAGCAGTTCTGACCAACTCCGGTGGGAGACCCTTGTCCTGCCATTGCCATGTTCAGCCTAATGAAAAAAAAATTGACGAAATTATGCAGATTAAGCGTTATAAGCTGTCAATGCTAAATAGAATTAATAGAAAACAAGCTTTAAAGAATTCTAACTTCACCAAGCTTTACAATTTTAACCTAATGCATTACAACGTAACCCAACATAAATATTCTAACGTGTTGTCTTTCTCGCATTTGAATAGGTTTGCTTCTATGTTGTTCCAAAATCATAATTTGAGATCTTACAATCACTCACTCACACCAACAATCTCTTAAAACATTTTATATCACATTATTTATTACTTCTACGACTACAAACAATGGGTAAAATGACTCCATTCGCTAGGCTGGAAAGAGAGTCGGCAGTATAGCCTTAGGTTTGGGCACCAGGCTTGTCTATAATTTTACTGTTTTTACAAATCAGTTCTACGCGTTTCTAGATTTTGCAATGTACGCCTTGTGCGATTCTTTACAATACAATTAACATTTCCATATAATTTCACGTACTCTAAAAAGGCCACTTTGCCTGATGCAAATCGACGTACATGTAAGTGGCGAGGGTCGAACGTATGTTAGGTTTCGCCCCCCTCCCCCTTTAATTCAACGATATTCACATCCCGAAAATGCCTACAAATTATCATCCTACTGCGGTTCTTCTTCCACAGAAATGGTCTGAAACTATTCCAATCAACATAAGAATACTTTTCTGTCCGTTTCTAAGCCTTACCTGCTTCCTATGACGGGTTTTCTCTTCACGTAAACCGGAACTCGGGCAGCTTTGTCCTTCCGTCGTCTCGTGAGGTCAGAGGTCAACGCCAAATGTGTCAAAGGTAAAGTTGTGTGCCTGATTACCCACATTGTACATTTGACATCAGTTGGCACATAAATTTACGTTCTCCTCATAATGTCAACGTTCTGTGTTTCAAACCGACCACCTTAACAACGTAACAAGCGTCTGACTTTTGTTTCTGATACAATTTGAAAGAGATGTTTTAAGGGAATTAATGTCAAGCCAAACTGTTTGGTCTGAATCTTGATTTCTGTGTTTTATGATCAACTCCGACCACCTCTGACAATATTCCATCCAACGAAAAAAGAGCAACACAGAAGAAAACATCATGTTCAAGGTACATCATAACGATTTAATTGTGCTAGCGGAAAGTTTCTATTGATACATCTTCTAAAAGTAATATAAAACAAACAGGAACTTTAACTCATATACAATATAACGCCTACGTTTTCACAACTGTGAAATACTTCCTACTATTGGAAACTGAAGCAAGTCGGTCATTTCACACCGATGCAAATCAGCGCAAAGAGTTTACTACAAACCAAACGCTAGTTTCTTGAGTATATGTTAGTCAAAAGATATTCTTGTGTCTGTAAGACATACAGGCAAACACTTAGACAAAGTGAAGTACATATGTACCTGTATTAACAAGAAATCGAAGCTCCTTCAATGGCTTCATTCTTACAAACTCTACACTAACCACTAGTTTTATCTTTCCTAAACCTTATCTGTACACAGTGTTTTTGCTTGGTACAAATTTTTCTTTTTATGTATTATAGTGTATATGAGGTTGTGTATATAGTGTTTGCCTTGCCTATTTGTAACTTTTATTTTCTGTACGCAAACTCTTTCAATTCAGGGATTTCATCCCTGCTGCAAGGTTTGCTTTGGTGCTGAAATAAATAAATAAATCCTAACGTCTATCTTTCAACTACTGTTTACAATCACTTACCGATGTTAAATACTGTACATTTACATTATCCAATCAATACCAACAAATTTTGGTGTTCTACCACAAATTAAGTTTACTGTTCAAAAATTACAAATCTGGTTATCAAATGATGGATTCTTTTCCAAAATATATAATTGATAGTTAAAGAAAGTATATTTGTCTGGCTAAGAATTATTCTTGTAAGTAAACCACAGTTTTACAGTGATTAAAAATGCAGTGGACAAAAGTGCCTATGACATTTCGTCCGGAAAAACTTGCATATTTGCAGATATGAGTAGCATATCTTATAATAAATCATGTAGTTAGCCTAAATGTTTTCAAAATTATTGTGCTGTATCCGTACGCTACATATAGTCTGAAGATAGAAAAACTATACTTAAGAGAAGATTATGCACATTAAATGTCACTACGAGATGGTCACAGTTGCAGAGTTGGTGCCTCCGTGTGAATTCTTTTATGTCGAGTTAGGGAAGACTTAGAGGCTGAAGAATAGCTACACTGGTCACACTTGTAGGATTTTTCTAAAGTATGGGTCCTCATATGTTTGGATAAGTCAAACTTGTAAGCTGTCCTGTATCCACACTCCCCACACATGTAGGGTTTCTCACCGGTGTGTTTTGCTTTATGATCATCTAAGGTGGACTTCCGTGCTGCAGAATAGTCACACTGGTCACACTTGTAGGGTTTTTCTCCTGTATGGGTTCTCATGTGTAGGGATAAGGTAGACTTGCGAGCCGTTCTGTATCCACACTCCCCACACATGTAGGGTTTCTCACCGGTGTGTTTTGCTAGGTGTTTATCCAAATCATATTTCCGTGCAGCAGAATAGTCACACTGGTCACACTTGTAGGGGTTTTTCTCCAGTATGGGTTCTCATATGCATGGATAGGTGAGACTTTCGAGTTGCCCTGTATCCACACTCCCCACACATGTAGGGTTTCTCGCCAGAGTGTTTTGCTAGATGATCATCCAAGTCTGATTTCTGAGCTGCAGAATAGTCACACTGGTCACACTTGTAGGGTTTTTCTCCTGTATGGGTTTTCATATGTTGGGACAAGTTGCCCCTCACAGCTGTCCTGTACCCACACTCCCCACACATAAAAGGTTTTTCACCGGTATGTTTTGATAGATGAACGTTCAAACCAGATTTCTGTTTTGCAGAAAAGTCACACTGGTCACACTTGTAGGGTTTTTCTCCTGTATGGGTTCTCATATGCTCGGATAAGTGAGACTTTTTAGCTGTCCTGTATCCACACTCCCCACACATGTAGGGTTTCTCACCAGTGTGCTTTGCTAGATGTAAGTCCAAAGAGGATTTTACTGCTGCAGAATAGTCACACTGGTCACACTTGTAGGGCTTTTCTCCTGTATGGGTTCTCATATGTTCGGATAAGTGGGACTTTTTAGCTGTCCTGTACCCACACTCCTCACACATGTAGGGTTTCTCACCAGTGTGCTTTGCTACATGCTGGTCCAAAGAGGATTTTACTGCTGCAGAGTAGTCACACTGGTCACACTTGTAGGGTTTTTCTCCTGTATGGATTCTCATATGTCGGGATAAGTAAGACCTGTCACCTGTCCTGTACCCACACTCCCCACACATGTAGGGTTTCTCATCGGTGTGTTTTTCTAGATGTTGGGCTGTTGCATTTTCCCCAGGCGTTTTTCCTGTGTGGCTGCTCACAGTAAAGCAAGACTCGGGCGTTGTCCTAAAACTGCTCTCTTCACTCTCCAAGGGTTTGTCCCCAGTTTCATCCATCTCTGTTTTCTGTTTGGAAATAAAGACAAATAAAATGACTATCTGGTGAACGGATGAGCGACCTCAACAAAACAAAAAATAAAACGCTTTTCAACAAGGGGAAACATATCAAAAGAAAAATTGACAGTTGTACATTTCTTGGCATTAGCTTTAGATTTTTAGGCAAAGAGGGGCACCAACCCTGTTGAATGACCTTGTTCCTAAAAACAAAGAGGTGCGGCGGGTGACACGCCAGTCAAAATCCCATCATGAAAATACTCTGGTGGTTCCTGTCTCCGGTGTCAGGACAACTCGGCCCCTGGGACAACTCGGCCCCTGGCCATTCGGGACAACTCGGCACCAACCCCAGGACAAGTCAGCCCCACAACTTCTAAAAAAATCAGTATTTTGGGCTCTGATAACTAGTACCCTCCTTATAATAATGTTAACTTCATTCTATACTAAGACATGTTCTTCTTATAGCGATGTCGGGTTGTGCCGCTCAAAGCTTTAAAGATTAAAAAAAATGACTTCCCCTTCTACTGTCTACATATCAAAAATACTTGAGTAATCACTGGAACTTCCCCAAATTAAAAACTTCTGATACAGCACATAAAGAAAATTTACCAACATTCTGAGAGAAATAGATTATTTCTATTTTGCATATTTGCTTTCCTTGATTATTGAGCACGATATCTGAGGTAAATACTGCTTATAAAATAAAAAAAAAACGTGTGTTTAATTTTTGCTTCTTTGTCTGCAAAGCGTCCCCTCCGCCTCCAGCTCTAGATGCAAAATTTATTGCACATTCAAAATATTTTGAAGTGCAAATCTTGAAAATCAAGTGTATTTTGCACATTGCACATGGGTATTTCGAGCCCTGGGCTCTCAGAACATTCAGTCACAAAGAATACATTCGATTAGATGACTAATCTCCAAGCAGATCCCTCTCGGTGGCAAAAAGACAGTATCAAATTGGCCAGGCAGTATCCTTTAGCCAGAGAAGGTCCGCGGCCACCGGTGGGGATCAGGACAAAAAAAAACGGCCATCTATAAAAATGTAACGATTATCCCCCCACAACCTCTGCTTGGAGAGTATAGATGACCTTAGTATGCGTGTGAAAATAAGCAAAAGAATTTGCAAGTATGTTAGGAATTTTAAGAACGGCTCGACATGAGCCTTTCATTCTTCTAGACACGTGTTAACTATCATGAAAGTTCATCTGTATCGGTAGTTACATGTTTAGAGTTTTAAACTTTTTTCTAACACAAATTATGTACTGCCCCCCTCCCCACCAAATATCCATCCAAAATACACTTCCAATGCAGGCTTCTACTTCCAAACAAGCACCCAGGAAGAAAACATTAACGACAAAAAGGATCTTACCTGTAGGTCTGTGGAGGTTAGCGGTCTTCTCGACTTCTGGAATTCCGTAAATCGCGTCAGATCGGAAGAGATGTCGATGGAATAAATCAAAATGGCGGCGGGTCAAAGGTGAGAGGTTACAGACCTGATACTTACTTGACAATGGGTCAAACCACAGATCGCCGCTTAACGAGTTCCTCTAATATGGTTTTTAGGAAAAATGTCGTCCTACGTATGTTTCTATTTATGTTTACCGAAGGAAAACATTGTTTTTACTCAATTTCCTCTTCTCCAAACACTAACCTCTGACCTGGCCAATGACATGATTTGTTGACGTATGTCACCATGGTGACTGGTGTTGGGTTACATAATGTTGCAAATTTCATGGTCTGCTCTACTCCTGTCACTATATACTAGTAGTACATGTATGTGAATATGTTTGAGTAAAAATTAACAGGGCAGACCATGTCCGAAGGTAAACATTATGCTTTGCAAATGTTACTTCTCTAGTTCTAATTCTACTTCTGTATATGTATGAATATAACCGTTTTGTGCTCTTATGTCCTGGAGGTAAAAACAAATTACGAAAGCAAAGGATTCACAATAACCAGGCAATATAATATAGCACAAAATTCATTTTATTTTGATAGATTTTTACCAAAATTGTGCAAAATTTTCTCAAAATGTTACACTCATATCCACAACCCAGCTTATCGTTTTTAGTATAATATATATTGCTGTAAGCTAAAACAATATAAATACAAAGACAGTACAGAGTACTATGTTATAAATACTACATACAATAAATGCTTATGTTTAAAATGTAATGCTATTAAAATGTTACATAATTAATTCGAACAAATTAGACTTAAACAAGGACTTTACACAAGGAAATACCAATGTCGAAAAATTTTAGATTCTCAGATCAGTGTCAAAAACTGATGTGTGGCGTAACGGTAGCGTGCATGACTCAGAACCAAGAGGTCCTGGGTTCGAGTCCTGACATGCCACCGATCTTGTGACCCTGGGAAAGGCACTTGACACGACTTTCCCCAGTAGACTCAAGTGAAAATGAGTATTGTCTGTCCAGTATTCGTTTCTATGTGCGGGACACAACACCAGCTACAGCTGCCTCTGTTCCGCATGTATTGCACTGTTGCAATTTCAATAAATCAAATCAAATCATATTTCAATACATCAAATCAAATCTTATGTACTAAACGTATCCCAGGTGCAAAAGCTACATATACCGTACTAGTATTTGGTGCGATTTCACATAGGGTTTCCTTGGGCACATATTTTGCAGTAAAAATGATAATATGCCTGAATATGTCCGATTCTGGTGCAAATTTGTTTACTAGGGTGTAGTTTTCAGGCCCAGGTACAGACTAACACTACAGCTAACATGGTCACTCCTGGAAAGGTTCTTCTTCCATTTTGACTTTCTTGCTACAAGGAGACAAATTTCTTGGTTGTACATTTCTCACACAAGTAGATTCAGCTTCTTTCTCGTGATTTATCAAATTTGATTGATCTATAAAATGTGCAGACAGTTCGGACTGTCTAGCTGCAGAGTTGTTACATAGATGGCACATGCAAGGTTTTTCTCTTTTATAAGTTTTATGGATTCGCATGTGTTGGGATAAGGCAGATCTGTTGGTTGTCCGGTACCCACACTCCCCACAAATGTAGTGGTCCACTCCATCGTGTGTTGCTAGATGTTTGTTCAAAGTAGATTTCCGTGCAGTAGAAAAGTCACACTGGTCACACTTGTAGGGTTTTTCTCCTGTATGGCCTCTCATATGTTGGGAAACGTCAGACTTTTTAGCTGACCTGTATCCACACTCCCCACACATGTAGGGTTTCTCACCGGTGTGTTTTAATAGATGTGTGTCCAAGGTGCATTTTAATGTTGCAGAATAGTCACACTGGTCACATTTGTAGGGTTTTTCTCCTGTATGGGTTCTCATGTGTCGGGATAAGGTAGACTTCTGAGTTGCCCTGTATCCACACTCCCCACACATGTAGGGTTTCTCACCGGTGTGTATTGCTAAATGCCGGTCCAAAGTTGCCTTGTGTGTTGCAGCATAGTCACACTGGTCACACTTGTAGGGTTTTTCTCCTGTATGGGTTCTCATATGTCGGGATAACTCTGACCACCAAGTCGCCCTGTATCCACACTCCCCACACATGTAGGGTTTCTCACCAACGTTATTCAATTTCACATTTTGTACTAAAATCTTGTCAGCATTGCTAGTTTTGCTGTCGCAGTTGACCTGGGAAACCCCGGTGGGAGACGCATCACAGCAGTTCTGACCAACTCCGGTGGGAGACCCGTGTCCTGCCGTTGCCATGTTCAACCTAAAGAAAAAAGAAATTTTGAGTTAGAGATATCTCATTAAAGCTTTCAATGCTAGAATTCAGATCAGCAAAAACCATTGTGATATTAATTCTAATTTTCTGATCATAGGCTGTAGACACCTTCACCCTTAGTATATCCAAGTGAAGTTAAACATTTACATGTAACAAACTACTGCTCTGTTCATATTATTACTCAAACACAATCCGATATCACATACTAGTATACAATATTATTATCATATACAATGGATAATAATTACAAAAATACATGGTGACCAGCCCCTCAAACAATAAAATGTAACCCAACACCACAGGGTGTCTGTCAAAGCACTCGTTACCAAAAAAAAAATGGGTCAAATTATATATAGGAAGCTATGTTGAATTTCGAGGCCTGCAAAAAGGTAACATTTTGCAAATCAGATTCAGTGTTCACCTTCACATACGAATTTTACAATAAATCTTACTTCTGTGTCAACAACATCTCAGTCCCTGGATAGCGGCTAATTTGTCTGTAAATAATATGGCAAGTGATTTCGCCCCCCTCCCCCTTCATTTCTACCTTTTTCACATCCACAAAATGCCTATAAATCATGACCTTACTGTGATCATTTTTTTCCACAGGAAGGATCTCAAACTATTTAGCTCGGTATCACAATACTTTTCAGTCCGTTTCTAAGCCTTACCTGCTTCCTATGATGGTTTTTCTCTTCACGTAACCGGGCTTGGGCAGCTTTGCTATCCTTTGTTCCTTCCGTCGTATCTTGAGGTCAGAGGTGAACTCCTTGTGGGTCAGAGGGGAATTTACTCCCCTGATTACCCAAATAGTACATTTTATTTCCGCCAACACGTTTACAGATTTTATCAGTGCTTCTAACGAAACTCCTCATTACAAGTCAGTATAATTCGTGGCATTGTTGAAGCATCTAAGCAAAATTAATTATATTTAGGGGATATTTGTTCTTTCCGGCGGCCATGTTTTTTTAGAACGTCCTGGAGCCGACCTGTGGTCTCAAACCGCAGTTTCACTGCAGCTTTGCACCTACCAATGTAAACACTCCGGGCGGGGGGGTTGTCGTCGTGTAGTTTTATTGTATGTGACTTAATGTATCACTTTATTAATGTATTTTGTTTATTTATGTGTTAAATAGCAACAGACATAGTCTTGTAATGGTGCTAAGGTGTTAAATAGCAACAGACATAGTCTTGTAATGGTGCTAAGGAAAACACTTTATTGGGAATTCCTCCATTATACTAGTATTTGAGCTGTATAAACTGGACATCACATATGACGGTATATGTATAACAAGTGTAGTTCATGCTGCTACTAGCATAATTGACCGAGTCAAGATGTTTACTGCTGAAGTCCTTGTTTTTTTTCACACAAACAGTCAAGTTTGCTACACAATGAGTTGACTACAACCTCTCTATGGATGTTCATTGTTACAAACTTGTTACAAACTGTTGGCTGCCACAGAAACGGTGACCTCTGTTGACGATGAGTGACCTCTGGCCCTTTGCAGTGTCGACTACCACACAAATGGTAACCTCTGACCCTGTACACTGTTGACTACCATAAAGTGACCTCTGACCCACAGCAGAGTGGACTACCACAGTGAACTCTGACCCACAGCAAACTTTGTGACCTTTGACCCTCCTCAGAGTTGACTTCCCCAAAATTGATGACCTTTAACCTCCAGCAGAGTTGACTACCAGACGAATGGTGACCTCTGACCCACAGCAGAATTGACACAAATGGTGACCTCTGACCCTCCAACTCTCACTACCAGACGAAGGGCGACCTCTCCCTGAGGATCCTGATGCCGAACTTGCGCCACTCGCGCTGCCCGACCCACAGCTCCTGGGTTGTGTCCAGACAGGCCAGCACGGCTGCGCCCTTCCAGCACACCATCTGCGGGTCCTGGTCCTACATGGGAGTAAACAAACATAGTCACAAACCAAGAAACAACATCACACACACACACAAGTACACACAAATGCATGGTCAAAACATCTCATTTTTACAACACACCATGTAGGTGTCCTGTAAAAAACTGATTTTTGGCCTTTTGATGACCTCTTCTGTGTGAGTGATTTTGACCTTTGCCCCAGTGATAACCCACTGACCTTTGCCCCAGTGGTGACCTACTGACCTTTGGCCTGGTGATGACCTCCATGGTGTCGGCAATGTTGCGGTACTTGGCAGGCAGCTGGGCCCTGACCCTGTGTAGCAGGAAATTCTGGGCCCCCGGAAACTTCAGCCCCCCTCCCACTACCAGGATGCACGAGAACATCTTCTTTTTGGTTTCGTCAGAAGCTGCAAACAAACAAACAGATAAATAAATGATAAATAAGGCCACACCAATTTGATTTGTTGGTTCTTAGATTTTTGTGCAAGAAATCACTGAAGCGGGTGGCTGAAAGAAATAAAATAATGGGCCTGTGATAGCCCCAAAGGTTAGCCAAAAACATACTAGTACTAATTCTGACTGGTTTGCTGTGCACTGACGCTAGATGTTACTTGGTACTCACGCCTCTGGGACACTATGCACCAAGTAACATCTAGCATCAGCAAACCAGTCAGAACAGCCCCGATGAAGAGGACAGGCATCATCTCAACGTCAGCTCATAAAAATAAATGGTTGCGATCAAAGAAATTTGCTATTTATGTTAAAGATACTATTTACATTTGGGAGGTCCTACTAATCTGGTTTATAATTCAAGCACAGACCTACCACAGCACTCTATACTGTGCAGAATAGCCTGGTCCACTCCCATCAGCTTCAGGGGGGCGGGTTCTGACCCCCTCCTGGATGCGGAGGGTAGCCTGACCGCCCCCCTGCGATGCTTAGCCTCCGAAGACCCCCCTGCGTCCTCGCGCGCCCGCTTGTGCCTGGGCTCCAGACTAGGTTTGGGGTCGGACGAGGTTTTGTCAGCTTCGCCGCCGTGCTTGCTGCTAGCCTTGGCCTTCTTCTCCGCAACAGCCTTGGCTACCTGCAAGTACAAACATAATACATCAGGGATGGCAGACTTCACACCCTTACCCATACTGCTTTGCATCCTGGCAAAAATAAGGTGAGTGTGGCAGTGGTAACTGTAAACTGTGGTAAATTATCCTCCATTTTTGGCCATAGTTGGACTATATTTCGGCCATGTCAGTGAATGAGCTGCTGTGGGCAAGGTTAGAGGTAAGAGGTCAGGTGTGAGAGGTTAAAGGTTACCTGTTGCTGAGTGTTCTGTGTCTGCAGCAGGTACAGGTGGGTAAAGGTTAGAGGTTACAGGTCAGGTGTGAGAGTTGAATGGTTACCTGTTGCTGTGTGCTCTGTGTCTGCAGCAGGTAGTGTTCGTCGTGGATGTCCTCCGGGTCTCCCTGGTTCCTGAGCTGGGTGTGGACCAGACTGCCGCCGACCAGCCCAAACAGCTGCGGGTAGAACAGACCCATGGGGGCCTAAAGGGGACAATCAGACCCATGGGTTATAATAACATTCATTAGTAAAATCTGTATCTGTATAGCTGGCATAACACATCAGCTTCTATATCCGTATAGCCGGTATAACCAGTTATGATGCCCCAGCTGTGCCTGGTGGCAGCAAGTGGTAAAGTGTTGGGTCATGTGGCGCAATGGCAGCGCACGCGACTCGGAATCAAGAGGTCCCGGGTTCGAGTCCTGAAATGCCACCAATCTTGTGCCCTTGGGAAAGGCACTTTACACGACTTTCCTCACTTAACTCAAGTAAAAACAAGTACTATCTGTCCTGTATTTTTTTCTATGTGTGAGACACAACACCAGCAACAGCTGCCTCTGTTCCGCGTGTATTGCACTTACGCAATTTCAATAAATCAAATCAAAATCAATAATAATGATAATAAAAAACATACCTGTATGGTTTCCTCGCCGACCCTGATCTGGTAGCGCCGGCTGAATGTGTCCGGCCTCTGCACATGGACATCCTGCAGCCTGGCTCCAGACTGGTCCTGGGGAGGGGGGGAAATTTCTATTGTTAGAAATGCTAATGAAGTATAGTGGAGGGGTTTCATTCCTCAAGCTAACCGACATCTTGCACTCTTCAAAATGAACTATGTAACAGGTCAGGGCGATCTGAAAATTTCTGATCTCTGCACATGGACATCCTGCTACCTGGCTCCAAACATGTCCTGGGGAGGCAGGAAATCTTTTTTAATTCTCTTTTCATTTGTTGAAAAATGTACCTGAACATTGCTCAAACCTTTAGACAGCCAGGCTGATAATGGAGGTCAACAATACAAGGGCAAGTACAGCACATAGTGACCAAACGTTTCCAACAGATTATACCTGGGTAGCTGCAGTACCTTGTTGAGATGACAGGAGGTGTGCTTGAGACATGCAGGTTATACATTAGATTGTGTGCTGATGTGTGGAGCTGCAGTACCTTATTGAGATGACAGGAGGAGTGCTTGAGCTCCTGCAGCAGCTGACAGTCCAGCCGGTCCAGCAGGTTGCAGTCCTTGTATGGGAAGTTGGTTTTCCTCAGAAGCCACTCCAGGGATCGGGTTACGTCCCTGCCGCCGTAGTCCAGCCACAGTCTAGGGAGAGAACAACACATGAACACCCAGGTACACCCATTAACACATCCACCCAAATACCCAGCCACTCATGCACCAAGTCCAGGTACACCCATCCATACACCAACCTACACTACCACACACACAGTCCATCAATACACCCATGACCACACTCACATACACACAGGCCCAGCCACTCCAGGCACCATGTAACGTTTGTAGTTGAGCCATAGATAGTCTAGAGAGAGAGAACATTTCATCACTGTGATACACCCATCTACACACCCACCCATACACATGTACATGTATACAAACCCTTCCACCTATCCATCCAAGCATGTCATCAGTGAATGTCATCTACCTGTACTGACCTTGAGTTTCTGTGAGAGTCCGTACTGACCTTGAGTTTCTGTGGGAGAGTCCGTCCTCAACGCAGCACACGGCTGTTTTCTGGTCCCCGACGTCCACCACACAGGCGCTGGCCACACCGCTGCCAAACGTCGCACATACCGACTCCTATAAGCACACAAGAACCTAGTACAACTCATATCTAAAGCTATAACCTCTTCACCACTTCTATCTACTAGTAAACTCTGACCTCTGACCCACCACACTCCTGCACAAACATACCTAACCTTTAACCTCTTACTCTCACAAGTTCTCACAAGGTCATTGATCATTGATTGATTCTTGATTGATTGATCACTGATTGATTATCAATTGCCAGGCCATCTTATCTGCGACGGTTGCCCAGCCTGTTCAACAGAAGGTTCATGAGTTCTTGCCGGTTTATCAATTGATTGATTATTGATCAATTGATTAATGATTGATCGATTGATCAATGATTGAATGATTGATTATTGACTGTCAGCCCACCTGATGTGCGATGGCAGTTGTACAGCAGGTTGATGAGTTATTACAGAATTATTTATTATTGATCTATTGATTAATGATTGATCTATTGATCATTAATTATTGGTTGGTTGATCGATTGATTGATTGATTGCCAGCCCACCTGATGTGCGATGGCTGCAGAAAATCCCAGCCTGTTCAGTAGCAGATTGATCAGTTCCTTGATGTGTTGTCTGTTGTAGATGTCAGGGACAAGCAGGATGCATCTATAGTGCTAAACAAACAAACAAACAAATCTTAAATGACAGGTGTGACAGGCTGAATAAAAGTTCTACACAGGAACTATGCGGCTCCAGGTGTCTTGCGGAGGGACGACTGCGTGTGCGAGATGTCGGTTAGCTTGAGGAATAAATCCCCTCTACTATATACTGCAAACAAATTTTAAATGAATGTACATATAAATGGACAAATGAATGAACTAGCTAGAAAGGAAACATTTGCAACGCAAATGCATAATGTTTACCTTCACATGGTCTAGCCTGACAAACTACTGGCAGTACTGCTCTGTTTATTCTTACTCAAAAATTAACAAAAAAAAACATGATTGTTTTCCTTATGCAAAGGGAAACAAATAGTGAATGAATGAATGAATGAATGAATGAATGAATGAATGAATGAATGAATGAATGAATGAATGAATGAATGAATGAATGAATGAATGAGCGAATGAACAAAAAAAAACAGAGCGCCTACTTTGAGGTCCTTGACAGGAATGTCCAGGAACTTCTCGATGGCGGTTGTCCAGATGGTCTCAAGGTCTGCCAGAACTGCTGTGAGAGATCCTCCTGTGCCACTGTGCAGGTTTAGCTGACCACATGACATCGGCCAGTGGATGTTATAGCTCTCCGAGGGGTGAAGGTACAGGACCTGGGGGGACAGAAGACAGACACTGTTGAGGGCCTGCAAGGGGGGGTCCCAATAACACTCTACGCTGAATTCAGAAACCTCTCGATTACGCTTTACAATAAATTCCAAGTGGCTACAACGTATTACGTAGAATAAAACGCCAAATACACTCTACGCAAAAATATTAGAGCGGTCCGTCTACGCTCTACGTAGAATTAAAACGGCCGATTACGCTCTACGGAACGGGCTTGCGGGCCCCCACTGTTATATCCAGAACCGTGTGTATCTATAGTGTATCCCTGTGCCTGAATGTGTTAGAATTAGGATCAGGCACGGTTCTGGATAGTTTTCGCGTATCCAAGAACACAGATTTGTCCAAAGCACGGTTCTGGATACCTGGGTACTTGACATAGAGTGCTAAGGGTGGGGAGGTAAAAGGCAGTGGAAGGAGAGGGATGGGCTCAGCCTTCCAACACTGTGCCCTAGATACTGTGGACAAACAACCCACTGCCCCTACAGCCTCAAAAAAGGCTGTGGGACTACCTTTACCCATAATAAAGTAGGTTGAATGTTTAGGAGTTAGTTTTCATACCTCCTGCCCCACTAAGTACTGGGGTTTGGAGCTGGTGTCCGTCCACTCCAGATCTGACGTGTCCTCGATCTGAGGACCAACCTGCGCATTATAGGCTGCAAGCTGAAACAACAAAGCAGAGGTTTCAAACTTCCGGGAACAGCAACAAGAAATCTGGGATTTCAAACATCCAAAAAGTAGGTTTTGTGTTAATGAATTACATGGACTCATACTACATATATTGTATGAGGAAACTTACTCTGCTATTAGTACAAATGTAGTATTACACCAAGTTTCGTGTGTCACACATTCCTGACTGTTACATCCTTGAATCAGGGATACTGGGTCAAAACCAATCAAGTAAAATCCAATGTCCACCCGCTCACTTTGGAACCAAACCATACAAACCTAGGATAGATTACTAGTACCACCCAAACTAATACTTCCACCCCAAAAGTAATAACATACCAGTTTCTTTATTTTGATAGTAATAAAATATCCTATCTCTATGGTTAGGCTTCCATTTAAAAAATCAAAATCAAAGTATATTAGAAAAGGTGTAAGTTTACCTGTTCTGTGGGCGGGGCTAGTCTGTGTTGCCCTGACGACGTGATGATTGACATCAGGGCCTGCTGCACTCCCCTCAGGCCCTGCTCATGGATCGCTCTGCTCTCAGTTTGCTGTAGAGGGCCACAAAAATATTACTTTATCAACCAGGTAAATACACAGAGACATGGCCAAACACAGTTTAAAACTTCAGCGATCGCTACTGTCATGATCTGAAGACTGCTGTCCTTTTCTTAAATGTTTTGGTTCATCAAGCATCATTTTCTTCAAAGTCCACGAAAAGATGAAAATGGTCCAGAATCATTCCTATCTAGTTCCATGCCTGTATGCTTAGGATTAGGATCAGGCATGGGCTATCCTGAACTGTGCCTAAGCATGCTCTGGATAAAGCATGGTTCTGGATAAAGCATGGTTCTGGATAAAGCACAGTTCTGGATACAGCATGGTTTTAGATATACCGGGTAGTGTAGTTCTGAATAAAGCACGGTTCTGGATAAAGCATAGTCCTGGATAAAGCACGGTTCTGAAAAAAAACAACCTTACACAAGCCTCATGCCTGAGCAGTGTCCTGTCCTCGTGTTTCCCTGCAGTGTCCGGCTTGCAGCAGCGCCGCCTAGCAATTACCTGTGGTATGACATGCTGGAACATTATCATCAAATCACAATTTCTTCATGTAAGTTATACTGGTATATTTATGGTTACAACTAGGTTTTTGGCAACATCTCAGGGAGAACAATAACCATAACAGCAGCCACTGTCGCCATGGCAATGTATGTTTTTATTGCCACTTTTGTTATCATTTGCGTAATATTTCAGTCATATTAATTCCTAGCATATTTGTTTTTCGGTCTGTTAATTTTTCTTTGTCATTGTGAACTGTTTGGTTAAAGCACCTACATGTAGTAGCTTACAATATCTTTTCTTCGTTACTGTAATGCACTAACACGGTAGCAAAAGTTCACGGTCTGAGAAAAATGGACATGTTCACAGAACTATGGTGGTGACAGGTGCAGGAAAAAGAAAGTCCAGGAATCATTTGTTAACTGTAATGATAAGTTCACGGTACAGAAGTGAACATAACAGTACAGTAAAAAAATCAGGAATTACAGTAGTGTCTTGCGAGGAAATAAACAAAAAACAAACAGACCTGCGGAATGACATGCGGGAAGGTGTCTGAAGCGCGGCCAATCCGCAGGAAGGAAGATCCTGGGTGGAGAACGATCACTGATGTGCCCTGGACTGGCTGCTGAGGAAAAAATTAGATTTTTAAAAAATATACTCGTAATTCTGTACAAAAATCCCTATGAATTCTTTGGCACCCCTGCTCAAGTTATTGCAATACCTGAAACAACCCGTAATTTTTCACTGTATGTTTTTTAGACCATGTGCATGTATGTATGCCTCTACATGTAAGGATAAAGGTAGCCTCCATAGCATGCCAAAAACTGGGGGTTTTGGGGGTCTTCAGGGTCTTTGGGAGCTTTTATGTGCTATTTTCTGATTGCATATAGACAACATAGCCGGCCTGGTTGAATTACCCCCGTTTTTTTTAGAACTGGGCTAATTAGAAAACAGCCGAAGACCACCAAACCCCCGGTTCTATAATCCTGCTACGGAGGCTAGGATAAAGGTACATGTATATACATGTAGGATTGCACTATTATGTAGAGTATGTGACCTGTATGTTGTTACATTTTGTCTGACACTGACCTCTTCCCTCATAACTTCAATTAAAAGCAGCTTCACATTCAACAAAATCACATTTTAACTCATCACATATCTAACTCACAAGAATGATATTTAACTCAAAACAAGACAATGTCACAAAAGTTACAACACAACATTTATTCTTCATAAAGAAAATCTCACTTGCAAACTGCTGACAGAATATAACTTGAAATCACCAAGTATTTCCACACACCTGTAAAATTATATTTACCTGACAAACAAATCTGCACTGAATCATAGTCTATATAAACTATGGACTAAAACTAGTCACCATTTAGAAACAATATAAATTCTTGATATAATTATAACATTTCACAGGTACGTTGATGATTCAAGGTTAGACATGCAGGTAAACAATACTTCACTTGTAATTATGGTTAATGAAGTACGTACATACAAACACTCATATCCCCAGTACAAGGCTGACTACAAAATCAAATTCTACCTGCACTAACCTGCATGTGTAAGTCAGGTTTCAAGCCTGAAATGTGTTACATATGCAGCAAACATAGTACGAATCAAACATCAATAAAGCCCACATTTTGTATCCTTTACCATAAATACCAAGTACAATATAGAGACCCTGAGAATACTTTCCTCGGGCACACTACTTTGAAGCTAGGACCACACCAATTTAATTTGTTGTTTCTAGCATTTAAAAAGAAACAAGCTCAACCAGCTAGGTTTATGCCTTGGTTCACTTGAGCGAATACAGTCATGATACATGTATTTACGTTTTGCTCCCTGCCCTCTGCTTTTCTGATGTCTGCTTGCTGTATTTTCATCTTAAAATGAGAACCAAGGAAATGAATTGGTGTGGCCTTAGGATATCTGTTGATATGTTTAATATAATATGCATTTTAATTTGTTGCTGTGTCAATAAAGATTTCTGTGTCCATAACTTCATGGTGTTGTACATTACTTTCAGCATGATCCCATCTAACACACAAATCTATATCCCATATTTCCTGAGAAATCTATACAGAAAAATGGGCAGAATTCCTCCACATTTCTCGCTTATTCACTAGTCAACTCTCAGTAGCAGTGTGATAGTTTCTGTTCAACCTTCTCCCTGCTGCCTAACCCCACAACTATTGCAAATTTGCTGCTAAGGCCTAGGAAAATAAATGTTGTGCTTCCTGTTTCAGTCCTGAAAAAATTAGGATCGGCAGGTTGGAATTATCTTTTTTTTAGGCTTCAGTAATATCTATATATATAATAAACTACTTATACAATACAGTTTAACAAAGTAAAACTTGCATGATTACACTTTTATTTTCAATGTCAATATTAGAAAACCAATTGTACAACGTTTTATCACTCAGATGTCAGATCATTGAGCTAGAAAAGGTTAATCAGCTCTATAAATTATGTCCCTTGCAGGGGTCCACCCAAAAAGTCTAAGGTCAGCAGGTTTTTCTAGGGTCGGTCGGGAAACAGGAAACAAAACATTTTTTTTCCTAGGCCTAAGTGGCTACCTTAGCAGGCTGAGGGTAAACTAGAACACATCGTACATGTCCTGCTGATATCCCAGCTCACGTAGGACCTTCACCGCTGCCTGGTTAAACGCCACCGGTCCGCACACCATCGCCATGGTTACCGGTCCCGGCGTAGGCAGGTCGCCCTCCACGACCTCTGACCTGACCCGACCCGACCTCCCGCTCCACTCCGACCCGGGGTCGGACAGCACGTGGATGACCTTTAACCTCTGTGCGTACTGTTCTTCCAGTTTTTCGAGCTGTTCGCGCCACAGGATGTCTCTCTCCTGTTTGTTGAAGAAAAAAATTGTGATTTTCTGGTCTTTCTGGTCGCGGGAAAGAAGGAGGGTTACAAGTCCCGGTACAGGCGTAAAACCGGTCCCGGCGACTAGGAAGGCGATGGACGCTTTGTCGTCCAATGGCGGGAGAGCGAGGGTTGAGTCGTAGTCGCTGATGTCCAGGTGGTCCCCAGGCTGCAGCTCGGCTAGTGCAGGTGTGAGAACACCTTGTGGGTACACCTGAGGTGGGAGAAATACTTTTTTTTACTTTAAATTGAAGAGATTCATTTGTCATGTATAGATACAGTTACTAGAGGGAATTCTTTCAACAGTGAGGGAGGCAACAGGAGGTAGGGCCCAGCAGACCGATGCAAGTCTCGGGCCTAGTCTCGTGAGAGCTTGAGACTTGGCCATTCCGTGAACAAGATGGACTGATAGTCATCGAAAATGTGGAGGCCAGTATCCTTACCCTTCCAACTTGTCACTGTTGAAAGAATACTCTAGTAACTTTAATTTTTTTTTATTTCAGGCATGACTCGCCCATGTAAGAACATACAGATAAAGATACACATAATAACAATAGTAAAAATATGAAAAAATTTCAGAGTTGGATGAAATTTTGGTGACTGTCAAAATTTTGTTCTGCAATTCAGAAATACTTTCTGTAATAAACACTTAAAACGTTTTTTTTTTGGCCCCCCTAATATTTTCAGGACTGAAACAGAAAACACAACATTTTTTTTCCTAGGCCTTACAGTAACACTGACCTTGATCATGAGGTTCAGGCCCGTGCCCTGTGTGTCCACCTGTGCAGGTGTGGTGAGTGATGCAGGTACAGGTGTGTACGGCCGTGACACCTGTCCGTAACCCGACACTTGGCGTCGCACGTACACGTGATGACCCGCGGGGACCCACATCCGCGACCCCGGCGGCAGTCGTACGCGGTACAGGGTCGTGTCATAGGTCACCTCCGCTCGAGACTCGACCGTACATGTCCGGTACCTCCGCTCACAGTCCTCTGTACCAACTAACCTAAATAGAGAGAGAAAGAGAGAGAGAGAGAGAGAGAGAGATCTGGTTTATTTGTGCCATACAAGTTCACACAATTACAAAAGCCTGTTGGGAAGGCTTTGGGAACACAAAAAATGCACTTATAATAAGCTATTTGATAAATGACTTGAGACTCCACCACACGCCCGGTACCTCCGTAAACAGTCCTCCGTAACCTAAATACACAAACAGAGCGGGACATTTAGCCTCTGTAAACTTGAAGAAGCCACACAGGCAAAACCGGTCGTGTGACAGGCTGAATAAAAGTTCTGAACAGGAACTATGCAGCTCCAGATGTCTTACTGATAGACTAAAGTCAACACAAAAGGCTGAGTTAATATCTAAACAATGAATTTTGAACTTTTAATCAAACCACTGAATTGATACATGGAATCCGAGAACCAACAAATTAAATTGGTGTTGCCTAAATAACTAAAACTGACCTTCCGTCCTGATCTAGAGGACTCCCCAACCTTCTCCACTTCCTTCCTGCAGTAACTTTCGTCAGCTTGACGTCGAGTTTAGACCCTGACGCTCCAAACGTTACATTAAACTCATCGGTAACTTCTTCCTCTAACTCCAGGTGGACTTGATACAGCTGTTGGTGGCCCAGGAAAAGGCGGAGTTCGAATTTGCGGCCAGTTTTGTCCAGAGTGACGTTCTCGCGAGTCAGGCCCTTCCGCTTCGTGTAGACGACCACGGTGATGTGTTTGTCGCTCTGGAACCAGTCGTAGCGTACCGACTCCCTCGCAACAGTCAGCACAGGAAGGACAGAGTTGTCAACTGTTAGCACAGGAACGCCCGAACTGTCCACAGTATCACTCTTGTTGGTGGGTAATCCTGGTTGAGAGAACAGTTTCAACAGTTTATTCATATTCATAAAAACCAGCCTCGCAGCCTGTACAAAAACATGCTGAATAACACTGATTTTTTACAGTTGTCTAGCAAATACAAATTAACATTGCATTACAATACATATACAGACACACAAACATTACAAAAGCCACACATGGGCACTAAAGTAAAGACCAGAGAGAACGGCTCGTAAATAAAGTCACACATACCTGTTTCCTGTACAGATTCCCTCGCAACAGTCGGTACAGGAAGGACAGGACTCTCAACAGTTAGCACAGGAACACCCGAACTGTCCACAGTATCAGTCTTGTCGGTGGGTACTGCTGCTTGAGAGAACAGATTCAGCTTTATTGATATTGGCATGAAATGTTCGATAAAGTTCAAAACAAGAATTGAGCCAACATTTACAATTATTACAAATGTTTAAAATACAGATCGATAAAAATTTAAAATCTACATTTTAAAATGCGATTTAAAAACACTTTACATGGACAATATATATTATGTCTTCAAAGAGCAACTATTATACTATTTATATATAAATATAAAACGACTCACGAATAACATCACACATACCTGTTTCCTGTGCAGAAGGATAGGGAAGGGATGGTTTCGTAAGTTCTGGGTTTGTCGGCCAGGGATTGTCCACGGTATCAGCAGAACTGACAGGTCTCCCACCGGTGTTTTCCAGTTTCTGCTGCTCACTTGGTGTTACAGATGTTACTGGTCTCCCATCAGAGTTTTCTTTGAGTTTCTCTTCAAAAGCAGCGCCTGGTGGTTTGGGAAGAGTCAGGTTTGCGGGAAGTGGAGGTTTCAGAAATCCCGTCTGTACTTTGGGTGGTTTTCGCTTCGGTGTTCCTGCATTTGGTGAAACGTGAAGCGTTGTTCGTAGTCGTCCGACCAGGCAGCTTTCCAGCATCGATTCGTAGTTGACCCACCGGTGAACCTCGTTGAAAAGATCCGTCCCGTCCCTCCCCGCGGCTCGCATGAGCTCTTCCGCCCCACCGGGGTGATATTCCGCGTATGCAGTCACGTTGTACACCTTCCCGCGAATCACCGTCCAAGCGTCGCTCTCAGTATCATGTTTCGCTAGCTCCTCGGGCGTGACGTTATGCAAACGACCCCCGGTCCCGGAAAGGTCGCGCGACTTCGAGAGCCGTATCCAGTCCATGAGCGACCTTCCCGGCTTCAGCGCAACCTTGTTACGCCCCCCTCCCACGCGCTGAGCGGACGAAGGTGCCGGGAACTGCGGTACACCCAGGTTTCCGCTCATGTTGTCGTTAGTTACGTCGTTTGTTGCCAAGGTTACGGTACAGCCGACACGTCCGCAGCCCATTGGCTGACCTCAGAAGACCTGGGGGCAAAGGGCAGAGGAGAAAGGTCAGACCCGGCTCAAAATTGATATGATTATATATGATATATAAAAATTATTTTCATCTCATTCAATTTTGAGCTGGGGCCTGACTAACTTGTCCCTCTGCCCTGGCCCCACCCAAAATTATAGTAATGATTTTATCTATCTAATTATTATTTATTTATTTCGATTCTCCACATACATGTACATCAGTAATGAAGAGCATGGTGGAACTGGTGTTCATGTTAGGACACCTTTTCAAAGCCACCATACAACACACATCATTCATTCAGGCTCATACGTTTACTAGTATATGCATAGATCTGCAAACTTGCCAGTAACTTCTAAATTTGTACATCCTTATCCTCAACCTGTAGCCTGCTTTAGTCCGCTACCCGGGGAGCGGATTTTGGGTAGCGGACTAAAGCTAACAAGGCTGGGTACCAGGCTAGGTCAAGTTTCCATGTAGAAGTTAGAATCATGTGGGGAGGGGGTCGGTTTTGACTTCTTCTTCTTTGACTTCAGCTGACACAGTAACAGTTACAATATGTGTGATGAGTTTAGAGCGTCCCCACCCCGCTAGTTAGCCGAAAGACTCACCTCGGGCGCTGTCTCTTGTCCCGCCGATCCCAGGGACGGGCTCAACCGCTTCTCCTTCTGTAGTTTCGGCGGGGTGGGCACCATCGCTGACCGCTCAACTTCCGGGCACAAAATCACCGATCTAACCACTTTTTCACAAGCCAAGAGCTCTAAACAAGGTCCAAAACACTCCTAAGAAGCTTACGAACCTTCAAAATATCACTAAATCCGCATCTAAACGTTATTTCCGCAAATATTTGAGCTTTTTCCCGCTAGTTCTTTTAGTAGTAAATATCTGGGGGAGGAAAAGTTGACCTATGACGTCACTTCCTCCTACGGCGACCCCGTAAACGGAAGTGACGTATTGGCACCTACCAATGAACACTGGGGGGGTGTATGTGTGAGGGTGTTGGTCAAATACTTCATATTACTGCATATAAATGTGTATAATGTGTTTAAAATCAATTTTTATTTCAAACCTGCTTGTTGTCATGTGTTTTAAGGGTTTCGCAGTTAGTGTTTGGATTCTTATACGAGTGTGTATTTTCTAGCACATGAAAACGTTGTACAAATCATCTGTCACAAGGACTGCATGCAGAAAAGAGGTCTCTTTTGTACTGGTACTGCTCCTGTTGTTTTGTTTGTATCATCTATTAACTTATATCTAAAGCCCTTAAAGTTATATTGATGATGACAAAGTAAAATATGGTCATATATACAGTTATGGTTGATTTTGTTATCTCTGTACCCATATTCTCGCTTGTTTATGTATCATACATATTATTTTATGAAATGGTGTCACATAAGTCCACTTGTGTCCTGGGCTTCTAGTGTGGGCGGGGCGCATTAAAAGCCCAGGACACATGAATGGTGTCCTTCATTCATTCCTTCATTTCTTCCTTCCTTCATTTCCTTTATTCATTTCTTCCTTCATTTCTTCCTTCTTCCTTCATTTCTTCATTCCTTCATTTCTTCCTTCCTTTATTTCTTCCTTTATTCATTTCTTCATTCATTTCTTCCTTCATTCATTCAAACACAGACTAGACAGAATGCACAACAGGCAGAAAATTAGTTCATACTTCCAGGTTTTATTTCCACATAGAAACATAACATATAACATAACAATAATCAATACTTTTTTTATCATATGATATCAGATTACATGTGTCACTAAAAGTATCTGAACAAAGTCTTCCTTGCACCAAAAAGAAATTACTCAAGCAACTGGATATGATTTTGGAAAGTTGCTTGAGTAACTGCTTTTTGGTGTATCTTATTACCTGGATGTCTAAACTTTATCGACGTAAAGTCTTCTTTGTTTTAATAACTAGCACTGATCATTTTTGCCCTTTCTTTTCACTTTTTCCCTTTCTTGGTTTTCTTCCCCTTTGGTGCGTATCTAGCCTCCAGATCAGCCATGAAGTTGTTGAACTGACTCTCTCTGTTTTGGCTTCTCTGTGCGATCATTTTCTGCAGCGCGTCCTCCGAACCGTCCATGCCAAGTTCTTTCATCGCTGATTCTGCCTCCTTCGCTTCTTTCTTAGCCTGGGGGTGGGAAGAAACAATGTGATGACTTTATCAAAAATGAAGCACAGAAAGTAGTAGTGATATGGAAAAAAACTAAACATAAAAAGATGTGATGACATTGAAAAATGAAACACAAAAAGCTGTCATGTCATCAAATAAATGCAACACAAAATACAAAAACTGAGCAAAAAAAAACTTGACCACAAAAAGTTGTGCAACTGTTCTGCCACTTGCTACATAATGTAACCCAACACCACAGAGTGTCTGCTACAGCACCAGTTACCATGGTGACAGACATCTGGTCAAGGTCATCAAACTTATTTGTTTGGAGACAAAGAACAAAAAAAAACTACAGTATATGTTTTCTTTCTGAAAAGGTTAACACAGCAGACAAGCCTTGCATTTCCTTTGAAAGTTTGAGTTGACTTCTGATGTAATAATAAACAAAAACAAACAAACAAACATATCCCAACATACCTTGCGTTTCCTGCGTTGCTGCTTGCTCCTGTCCTCCTGAGAGAATGCTGGGAAGTCCGGCAGGTCACCTGACCTGATCTGACCAATCAGCAGCTTGCGGAAGCGCGGCTCATCCTCGAGCGTTGCCAGGGTAACGGCGTCCATGATGTCATCCATGTCGCCCTCGTGCTCCAGGTACGCAGACTTCAGGTCAGCAAGCTCCTCTTCGGAACCTGGGGAAGGAAAGTCATCTTATAATATAGTCATGCCTTCAAGTACCCGAGTTATCAACCAAGGATGGAGGTGTTCAAGAATTCATTCTTTCTCAGAGCTATCGCAGAGTGGAACTCACTGTCACCAAGTACAGTAGGGGCATTGTCAATAGATATCTAGAGTTAGATGTGCAAGGGTTAGGTGTAACAAGTTGATCGGTGTAATGTTAATGTCAAAGTTATGAACTGGAGAACCCTGGAGCAGGACAGATGTGGTTAGGTGATGTTGAGTAAGGTGTTCAACAGTAAAGGCAAGGGCTTTGCGTGGCTCAGTGTGGAGAGGGCAACATAACAAGTAGTTTTTTCTAAGGTTGGTCGGGAAGCATAAAACACAAGAGTTTTTTCTTAGGTCTTATCTAGTTTTTTGTTACTAGTTCCTCCTACCTTTGTAGTTCTTTTCGAAGTCTTTCACAGCCTGCAGAGTGACTTGTGGGAATAGTAGACGCCAGTAGGACGCCCAGTCTTTGTCCTGGTCCACATCAACTTCATCATCTACCTCTCCTGGAACATAAACAACAAACAATAAACAACAAACAATAAACAACAATGTTACACGTATGATAACAGCCAGTAGTCACTCATCTTCTAGTAAGCTCTTACATTGAAAAGTAACTCTGCAACTTACTGTGTATGGAGGGAAAGAAATTCAAACTTTAAAAGAGGCAGACAGAGATGGGAGGCTGGAAACACAGAAGGTTGGAGAAAGGTAGTAGGTGCCCAAACTAGAGTAAAACTAACTAACAGATGATGAAAAAACTGTAGAATCCTACGTCAATGAAGATTAGACATTCCAAGTTACTCAAGCTACACATCTCAAGTAGCATGACAAAAAGCTGTGGATGCTACTTGAGATGTCTATCAATTTCTGCTGTATCTTGGATGCTATGATCTATTGACGGTTAATTTGACCTGATTTAATTCTGCAGAGTCCGAACTTACCACTTTCATCGTACAGGGCCCTTTTCCCGGTGTCAGACAGGACAGAGTAGACTTTACTCAGAGCCTGGAACTTTTCTGTGGACTGGGCGTCGTCTGAGTTTCTGTCCGGGTGGAATCTCATGGACATGCGGTAGTACCCTTTCTTCACTGGAAATACAGGAAAACAGTCCCAACTTTTATAACACAACTTTACAACGTAAGTTGTTAATGTTAGCTGTTGTAACTTTTATCACAGAACTGTTAGACCAGAGTGTTACATCTTTATGGCAAGAAAATACTTGTTTTTGCCCTCAATGAGAGCTTTGACAATGTACTGTTACATAACAGACCAATTTTTTTATAACTTTGGTAATAGAAATAGATGTATTGTTTTATTCATCCATATGTTTGAAGGAAGACAATAGTTTCTTCATAATATTTGTGTAGAGATAACTTTTTAAATCTTTATAACTTGACATTTCTATGTTTTGTTTAAAAAAAATAACGTGAAAACAAGGAACAAGCCCTTCTTCAATCAACAGAAGACAATATGAGTTAGTCCGTCCCTACTATTTGGGACGCTTTCCAGCACATGTCGGGTGAATGATAGCAACCGAATTCGAATATAGGATCAAGATTTCATATATTTTTGACAGTGCCCCCCTCCCCACACATCGCCCGTCTTACCCTGTTTCTCCGTCGCCGTTTTCTCCACTCCTATGACATTGTAGAGGTCACGGGTGCTGAACAGGTCCTCACAGGTCTGGAGAAGTCCCGGCATGACGCAGGTGTGACCAGGTGTCCTCAGGTGAGAAGATATGAGACGATTTCTGGAGACTTTTTCTTTCTTCCCCGATCTTCTTCGCTCTCCTTCTTTCAAAATGGCGCGAAATTCCTGGAGGATGATGGGAAGTGGTGACCTTTCAACTCCAAGCTTGGTGCGAGTTACACTAGTTGAAGAGCCACCCAGCGGATAGGAAGATAACTGCACCTCAGTTAAAAACTCTTGACGTCCCGATTTCAAGTCTACATATAATGTCCTTGCTACAACTGATTCCAGCGGTAAAAGATGATAGAATTTAAGACAAGGGATTTCTTTTCACGGGAAAAACTTTTTGACTTGTTTTGTAATGAGTTTTGTATAAGTATAAAGCGCGCGTGTGTGTGTGTCCGTTTGTGTATGTGTCCGTCTGTGTGTGTGTGTCCGTTTGTGTGTGTGTTTGTGTGTGTATATGAATGTGTACATGTGTGAACACAATTTTTCTACCTCCATGGTGTGTGTGAGTGTATTTGTGTCTTTCCCTGTGTGTGTGTGCGCGTGCGTCGGCCCGTCTGTCTGTGCGTGTGCGTGAGAAACGGCACTGTTGTTTGATGTTAGCCTCTACCAGGCTTCGGGTGCAGTTTTGCATCTGTATCCAGGCGGTTTGTTTGAAGCCAGCCCAGCCTGAGATCGGGTGATGATGCGAGACAGCGGCATTTGTAAGACAGAAGGTGTGATGTTTAAGTGATGTTCTAATCGCCGCAGATTGTGGGAGTGATCTGGCGGGAGAGGAGAGAGGAACAATGCCGGGCTGGGACAGGCGGGGTACCCAAGGGGGATTAAGATCAGAGCATCTGTGAGGGAAAATAGTCTGAAATTAATCTCCAAGCAGATCTTTCGCTAGCTGCAAAGACAATATCAATTTGGCCAGGCTGTACCAATTTGCCATAGTTGCACCAAGGACATTCTACACCTGAAGCGAGGCTATTTGTTCCCACCCCAAAGCCTCTACCAGGCTTCGGGAGGCGGCTGGAAAGAGTAGAAATCGGCCAAATAGAGAGATAGCATGCCAGGGGAGTTGGTCTGCTGGGAGAGAACATTTTGCCGCACCCGGCATGTTATCTCTCTATTTGGCCGATTTCTACTCTTTCCAGCCGCCTCCCGAAGCCTGGTAGAGGCTAGGCCCGGGTGCCGCCTCCCGAAGCCTGGTAGAGGCTACCCACCCCCCACCGCCCGCACGTGTCATGTGAACCACCCCGCTAATCTCACCCGTAATGAGCGTATGAAAATTTAACGACTTCAGTAAATGATTAGAGTAATAATGACGGATCAGGCAGGGCTTCTCTGGACGGCTTTTGTTGTCTGTGCGAACTGCTCCTATCTGTGTGAAAACCAGAGCATACACCAGAGAACCAAGGACGTTTAAAATCAAGACCTCCTTGAAAGATCACACAAACCACAAACTACAGAACAAACAAAGCACTTTCTAGACAATCCAAGTTTGCCTTGTGTTGCAAGTATTTTATTAATAAAGTTGAATAAACCATTGCTTCTCACTTCTTTCTTTCTTTTCTTTGTGTACTTGTACAGCACAAGCGTACAGGTAGTTGTACATGTTAACGTGTACATGTATTTCAACTTTTTAGTCTGCTTTGCCTTTGTAGAACCAAGGAGGTTAGAAAAGGGATACATAATTACAAGACTTTTCCCAACTCCTTACTCATTGAGTTACAACACAGACCGTTCAACTCCATGCTTATATATAACTTCCGTGGTACATGCATAGCAGATATCTGGCTCATCTTGTTTCAAATTTCTCCTTTACTTGTTGTGCCTGTCGTTGAAATTTCTCTCCACTACATATAAAGTGACTAAAACGATAAGCACGTGGGAAAATAACCGGAACAATTGGACAGAAACAAAAACACACATGACGAAAAGACGTCCAGCATGCCTCCACGCTCCATCTGCATGATCAGTGCCGGTGTCCCAGCACCCCTCGGCTCATTAGCACACGACTGCTGGTATGAATTTCATCATCACTTCTCCCGATCCGCTGCTTGTAATTCATATCAGGGCTTTTGTGATGTTTGAGCTTCTCTTGGGACCCAGTCGGGCATTGTCGGCCTTCTCTCGGGACCCGGTCGGGCATTGTTGGGCTCCAATCGCATTAGGACCAATTAGACCGTCCGAGGTGCATTTCAAAGTCGGACCGGCGGTTTTCTGTTTGCGGCTTTTCATTAGTGTTTTACCCGGTCGGCTTGTCGCGATAATACCTACAATAATACCGCTATCGGAGCGCCGGGGGACGTCTCGGGTAGGAGTTTTCATAGCCTCTACCAGGCTTAGGGAAGCGGCCAGAAGAGTAGAAATTGGCCAAATAGAGAGATAACAAATCCTACGGCATGTTATCTCTCTTTTTGGCCGATTTCTACTCTACTGGCCGCTTCCCGAAGCCTGGTAGAGGCTAGCTAATACCGGCTATCGGAGCGCCGTGGGACGCCTGGAGCCTAGCCCCCTTTCCATACAAACGCTGCTCACTTGTGGAGAGACTTGTTAGCCTAGCCTGGAATCCACCCGTGAACGCTGTCAGTGTGTCTCCGCTCTGCAGATTTCAGGCTATCAGACGCGACTGAAAGAGTAGAAATTTGACAAATAGACAGAAACATGCCGGTACTACTAGTAGAGTTATTCCAATAAAGAAGTGCGATTTGCCGCATCCGGGAGCGAATGTCTACTCTTTAAACTCTTTCCATCCGCTCCTGAAGCCTGGTAGAGGCTACAGTAGCCCGCCGGCCTGTGGTAAGCCTGGTAGAAATCTGTCTACATAATACATTGTACCATTTTTAAGCTGTAAGTTGTTCGTCTAGTTATGTCCAAAAAATGAAAAGATCTGCTTGGAGATTAACTAAAACTAACTTCTGCCCGGGGATTAGGAAGCCCTGAGCTGGTGGCGTCATAAATAAATAGATTATCTCATAAATCTCGTGTCGGTTTCACGCCCTGCTACCGATACGGCTCATTGTTGGAGCAGCCGTGTGGGGCGCCTGATGCCCAGGCTGATAAATAAAGATCGCACAATAAACCTAACTTTTTTTATTTGTAGCAGAAATAAAGGAACATGTGAATGAAAAAGGCACATTTTGATATCAAACTTGTAGTATCAAACTACTGCGCTTCGAGAGACGGCTGGAAAGAGTAGAAATTACCCAAATAGAGAGATGAGAATTTTTGCTGTTTCCCGAAGCCTGTTACAGGCTAGGTTTTTGTTGAATGGATGCTGCCTGGCCAATCTGATACTGTCTTTTGCCCCCCCCCCTAGGATCTGCTTGGAGTGCGTCCTGTCTGTGTGTTCCCCCGACCTTGACTCTGTTTACAAACTTTGTGAGCTCGGCGATCACAACACCGGAAACTGCCGCTTGGTCCCCACAGCCGCGTGTCGGAGCCTGGGTTTTACCGCAGACAGGTTACAGTAGCCTCTACCCTGGATTTTCGCATCTGCTTGAAGCTAATTAACGCCACTAATGAACTCAGACCGGCAGGAGTTAATTAATCATGGCAGGCACTCAGGGGGAGGGGGGGTCTGTGTGCAGAAATGATCAATATTGATCAGCTGGCCTAAAAAGCGAGAAGTTGAACCTATACATACTAGACTCTTATATCATTAGGTACACCATGATCTGTACTTGTACAAAGAAGTTTTCATTCATTATCGCCAATGAATTTCTAACAGAGCTAATCCATGATAATACTAAAGCTAACCTATTGATTGTGTTTTCTTAAAGGGCAGAAGCCACCTCAAAAAGTACCTGAAATAGGCATAGATATCAAAAATATACATATAGTACAGTAAGTTAAAAGTGTTTGTAGTCACTTTTACCGAGAAATAGAGTTTATACAGCTTCTCAAAGTGTCGTTTTTGGAAATCCGCGACCCCGGCGTAGTAGCCCCATTCCAGAAGCCGTCACGTGATGCCGTGACGTAACACAGGGGACGCACCCGCTATCTGCCAATTGTCTGTTTGTTTTAACAATGGCAACACCGACCATGGACGCTGGATTGTTACATTCTGTAATTCAGAAGAGATGTCAGTTACTAAGTATCTACACGCTTTTATAGTGATTCAGATGTGTATTTTCGAACGTACATCGAGATTTGTGTAGGGCATAAAAAGAGGATTGAGCCTGCAGGTAGCGATGACGGTCAAACTAACGAGGCAGTAGAACTGTCCAGCCCGGAGCGGGACACGCCCAGATCGTCGCACGGGCTTCGCACCATCTGGGCCCGCCGATATAAACATTACAGGTTCCCATAGTCTGTATCAGACATCTGGGGCTACCATTAAAACATACACCTCTCCTGTAGCATCTATCAGGCATTTGGGGGCTCCTAGCCTCTACCAGGCTTCGCTGAGCGATCACTAAACATACATATCTTCACCAGTCTTGAAGCGGTTCGTTCTTTCACAGCCTTTGCATGCCATATCAACCCATTAGTAAATGAAAAGGAGAAAATGACTGTTAATGAATTAATGGATGACCTTTTTTACATACTCCAGCACAAATGGGCTAAATGCAGCGGAGATCGAACGGCTTGTTTGTGTTATTCTAAACTGGGCCCTTACCAAGCTCAGGTCATTCATTCATTTATTAAATCATTCATTCGTTCGTTCGTTCGTTCGTTCGTTCATCCACCCATTCATTCATTAATTCGATGTGTCAGGAAACCGTGTTCAACAAGACAGACGTACAGGAAAACATGCACATTCGTTTAAAATTCCTGCATTTTAAAAACATATCTTGAAAGTTCATCTGTGTTAGTAGAAGTCTGGGTGAAAATTTGGGTGAGTCCAATTTCTTGTGTTGGAAATTACAGTTTAAACTTGCTGCATTTTAAAAACATGTTTTGGTTTGGTTTTCGTCATTATTTGTATGAATCACTCAACAAGCAACGTGCGATTGCATTTGCAAACCGTTTTCTGCGACTTTTCAGGAGCTACCATGTCTTATTTCGGTAAGATTTGTACTACAGCACAGTTAGACAGCCGCGATGTTTCATTTTCTAAGACTCTCCCAAGACGGATGTTCCTCCTTCCAC